CTGCACGTCGAGACTATCTATTCTATGTAAATACGGTATCTGTTATCAAGGAAGTGCCTGTGGAGTTTCAGCTAACCAATCCCTAGTTAAATTCTGTCCGCTGACCACATCGGAATCGGGACAGTTACGGATACTAACATAAACCATACAAAGCATAGACATCGTGGCCATCTGTATGCAATGTAGCTTTTGTACGATCTACGAACCCTCCAGAAAGCTACTGGCGCGTAAAGGCTCTATACATATTCAACAGATTCCCTGCTTTAAAGGACGTGCGGTATTATGTCTTTACGTATTATTGAAATGTGATCCGATGACCACAATATGGCTTACAATTAACCTACTGACCACGGCTAGTCGCCAGAAAAACCTCAACCCATACCTGATTCCTGGAGACTATTCTGATCAGTCTTCTATCAATCGTTATGTCCTATTTACTATAACAGTAAATTGATCAGATCGTCCCTCCTGGTGATGTCTTTTGCTAATTCACGCATAGCTAAATAAAGATTTATCTACATTTTCTCTTTATGTTTTCACATATCTATCCACCAATTTATGAGATTTACAGGTCGGACTTATTTTCTGATCCAGAACCTATTTTAAGCTTCGGACTATTTTGGTTATTCGTCATATCGGCGGAGAACTGGGGCAGCCAAGGTTTTCTACCGAAGAAGATTCAGTATGCGATGATGAACTTTAAGTTAACGGTCGTCATTTCAAAAAATCGCACACTGTAACTAAAACCCTATACACTGAGTTTTAGATCGTTGGTTTGTAGATAGTACGGGACATAACTTACCGGTACCACTTGTATACACTGAGGTTTAGATCGTTGGTTTGTAGATAGGACGGGACATAACTTACCGGTACCACTTGTGACGGCGGATACGCTGACTGTGTTATGTAACTGATTTCGTCCTTGTTTTAGTTTCGTGACGTCATTGTTTTATTTTGATGTATCCGCGGTTGTTCTACTTTCTCATCGACCTGTTTGTCGGGTTTTAAGAGCTAGTATTTCTGGTAATCAAATCTGTGGATCAGGTTGTCCTTGTGTATTATTAATGTTAAATATAGGATATAGTTTGGTCCTTTGTGTTAATGCTATGACAAATATTGTCCTATAGTATGGACGCCGTGGTACATTTTGACATTGAGTGTTGACACTGTGGTATATTTGACCCTTGCGTGGACGCCGTGGTACATTTTGTCATTGAGTGCTGACGCTGTGGTATATTTTGCTCTTGCGTTGACGCCGTGGTACATTTTGTCATTGAGTGCTGACGCTGTGGTATATTTGGCCCTTGCGTTGACGCCGCGGTACATTTTGTCATTGAGTGCTGACGTTGTAGTATATTTGACCCTTGCGTGGACGTCGTGGTACATTTTGTCATTGAGTGCTGACGCTGTGGTATATTTGGCTCTTGCGTTGACGCCGTGGTACATTTTGTCATTGAGTGTTGAGACTGTGGTTTATTTGACCCTTGCGTGGACATCGTGGTCCATTTTGTCATTGAGTGTTGACGCTGTGGAATATTTGACCCTTGCGTGGACATCGTGGTCCATTTTGTCATTGAATGTTGACACTGTGGTATATTTGGCCCTTGCGTGGACGTCGTGGTACATTTTGTCATTGAGTGTTGACACTGTGGAATATTTGACCCTTGCTTGGACGTCGTGGTCCATTTTGTCATTGAGTGTTGACACTGTGGTATATTTGGCCCTTGCGTGGACGTCGTGGTCCATTTTGTCATTGAGTGTTGACGCTGTGGTATATTTGGCCATTGCGTTGACGTCGTGGTACATTTTGTCATTGAGTGTTGACGCTTGGGTATAGTTGGCCCTTGCGTTGACGCCGTGGTACATTTTGTCATTGAGTGTTGAGGCTTTGGTTTATTTGACCCTTGCGTGGACGTCGTGGTACATTTTGTCATTGAGTGTTGACGCTGTGGTATATTTGGCCCTTGCGTTGACGCCGTGGTCCATTTTGTCATTGAGTGTTGACGCTGTGGTATATTTGGCCCTTGCGTTGACCCTGTGGTCCGTTTTTTCATTGAGTGTTGACGCTGTGGTATATTTGACCCTTGCGTTGACGTCGTGGTATATTTTGTCATTGAGTGTTGACGCTGTGGTATATTTTGTCCTTTGACTGAAATACCTAACTACACTTGTATGCCTACTTATTTATAATTTAACCACATCAAGTCATCAGATTGCAAAACAGGCAAGGCTGTTAACCCGTTATAACAACTGTCCTTAACATAAACATGGACAAAAACATTTTTTTTTGGAGAAACATGTATGGTGCATTTTAAAATACCAAATTGAGTTCTGTTAAATGTATTACATATTGTGTATCACGTATTTTAGAAAATATAAATATCCATGATAATAAAATCGATTTTCTACTCTGAAAGGCTATACAAAAACAAAGTGGAATCAATCCAAATCAAACTTCACAGGCACACTCCCTTTGTTCTGATAGGAAAGCTATCTGGTAACCTAATTTCTATTTTCATTGAATATTAACGTAAGTTTCAAGGATTTTTCAGGACTGGGTCCAGAGAGGTGCCATTCCACGTACATGTTTATATCAAAGCTTATTTAAGACCCCTTTAAAGAATAATTTAATAAAGAATAGAAACCATCCTCATGGATGTGCCAAAATGTTATATGTGAACCAGTGTAAATATAAAACTAGGTATAGACGTGTCAGCTTTATTATAAATACGATAGGTCGACGTGTGTCACAATTTTAGTCGAATATGTCCTGGTCCATTAATCAGGAAGCACGTTAAACATAACTTATTAAAATGTTTATGCAATACGTTTCTTAAATTTACATATCAATCAAAGTATAACAAAATATTCGAATTTAAATGCACACGTGTTCATATGTACTCACATGTTAAATACAATTTTAATATGAATCCTAAAGAGCCCCAACATATTGTACTCATATTTTGACAAATTTCTTTGTATAATATCTCAACTAAGTTGAGACGTGTGCTTACATGTGTATGCTTCATGTACTTATAACTGGTTTATCACAAGCATATTGAACCAGATTGATGGCACTTTAAATCCTGAGAAAGAGTGCATGCTCTGGGCTTTAATAAAAACGATTTATTTCCGTCTGCTTTCAACTGTTAATGGCTTACACAGATGTGGGTGTTTGATGTGTTCCTTGTGCCAAACTTCTGTTAGCACCTGATCACCTGTTATTATCATATTTCCCACTTGTCGACGAGACCAGCATGTCTGTGATCAATCTGGGACACCTGCTCACTTACGCCTATGCCCTTTCTTTCTTGAAAAAAACCCCATGATATTTCTTTGGTCGTCAGATTAAACAGCGGGGTTCAGTTTTAGTCCTTTTCTTATTACAGATATTGGAGGGTGGCCGAACTATTGTTTTATAATTTTATTTATTATGTTCTATTTTACATGTATTTTGTGATTTTACACCCTATTCTTTTTATACATATTCGTCCTGTTAAAATGTAACAGTAGACTTAGTTTTCACTTCGTGTTTGAAAGCACGATATCATCGTGGGGGATTACGTACAGTCCACGTGGTTAATATAATGTGTATTCCTTTCGAAACACGAAATATTCGCTATTGAATTGCTTTTGTTAGGAAGTAGGTTAGGGTTTGGTCTCTGACTGAAGCGAAATTATGGCTGCTTCGTTTATGACGAAATAGTGTTAACATTGTGAAGGTGTTAAATATAAAACCGTCAACCAAATTAAAAAAAAAATGTCATGCGAACAAAAAATACATATCGAAATAAGTTTATACCCCAGTTATCTCCATAAAGATATGAATAAATTTAAAAACAAAAGAGAAAAAGGTCTGAGAACACCAGATACTGTATTGACCATAGGAAAGCTACATCAGAACGCCCAAATTTCGATTAAATTTACATTAAACCCTAACAAAACAGAAATGGTTATTTAGATGTAGAATAGTGGCAAGTAATAAATAAAATATAGTATTACTTGTTACATATGTGAATAGGAAATATTGTTATATAATATGTGAGAATAGTTGATTTCGTTAAAGAGTTTCTCATCTTCTCAATATTACCGCACATTTCAGGCTTTAAAGCTTTATTTCGATGTGGGGTAAAGAGGTTCCAGCAAAGGGCCATTAAGTTTCAGTTCAACTTTATAATCATTCTGAGAAAACTATCCTGCCTTTATTAAGTAACAAGACTAAGACACAGTGACACTTATCTGAAGTGCCAGTAAGGACAGTTACATACTCTCTGAAGGGAACTCTCTCCAGCTCCCAATTGTAACGATAAAATCTTTTTCACGAAACAGAGTTTCAATTTATCTTTGACAAATTTTATGCATTTACAGCAACCAATTTTCCAAAAATCGCTTTTCCTCACTTATAAGGAATTTTTAAATTCACCCTGGAAGAAAACACAATAAGAACGACACACGATGGTCCCAGCGGGGACTTGGAATTGCATGGCGTCGCCTTTCGTACAAAATTCGTTAGTCAGTATTGGTTTGCTCCCTCTGGCACACCACGGAGTGATCAATAGCGACACGTATTGTAAGCGTGGGAAGGCGCTGACTAGTCGTACAGTTCGCTATATTTCTATTCTGTTTCATTAGTAAACGCAATCCTGTTTCGTTAGGTGAAAAACTAATTTTCAATTCACCAGACTGAAAAAACGAATGAAGCTATTGCTGCAGAACAATCTGTTTTAATCTGGAACATATTTTTCATATGAACGATTTTCTGTAAACGTATATATATGATTAGGTGTGAGACGATATATTATCTACGTTCTATTAAATTGATGAAATAAATCCTATATATTAAACACTAAATGTCAGCGTGTATTTGTCCAATTTCACCGCTTCAGAATAAATCCCATCTACACAACTACCGATAAATAATTGCACAAGCAGACCTATTCATAAATAACGTGCACAATATATATTTTCACAGATAACTATCTGCTGTGAAAGGAGGGGCTGGTTGTGTTTGTACAGTGAGGAAATCCAATTACGACTGGGTCATGTTTCTAGTCCGAGCAGTCCGCCATTGTTTGTCGGGGTGAGGAGGCCTAATGACGCGCCTCACTGGTCTTGTCGCTTGGACACCAGGTCATGGATCATCGGAGCCGGCCAGCGTTACTGAAAAGTGTTGCTTACGTGTGGGTCATCCTCAGATCCATAGGTAAGTACTGTCATTACCTACCTCACACAGGTTCATGTTATTCGGGTATACATTATTTATTTCAGTTATTTTATATGTTTGGTATGGTTGTATTTGTATTATAAATGTAATTCAGACGAAAATGACACAGGCAAGTCATTGAAACACAAGCACACGTGGAGTTTCATGTTGTTCCCGTTCGTTTGTAAATATTCACTTGCAGAAATAAACTAGTTCTGTCATATTTATGATTTAAAGTTTAAAATTACGTCTACTTCAATATGACACGAGAGCCCAACGTTTAGTTACGTGAATAATAATACGTAGCTTACACGAATTATTATACATAATCAACTACATGTTATCAGTTTACACCTACTTTATTTTAACTTAAAGTATCTCGGAGATTTAGTTCACACGTACAGTATTATAACTTAAAGTATCTCGGAGATTTAGTTCACACGTACAGTATTATAACATAAAGTCTCTCGGAGATTAAGTTTTCACGTAGTATAAAATAAGTGTATCGGAGATTATAAGAAATCGTCAAGAGAATAGATATTTAACATGTATTAACATATGTAGTCACGTGACTAGTTATTTCAGTCATTTTTACACATTGTCACGAGACTAGTAACTTGCCGCGTATTTTTAAATATTGTTACATGACTAGTTAGTTTATATATATAATTATCACTAGAGTCACTTGAAAAGTAGCTATTTACTTACGGTTACAAATAGTCACGTGACCTTTAGGCATATCATGACACACAGGTATGTGGCAAATTATTTTTTCTCTGAAAATTACATATAGCCACGTGACGTGTTCGCTTTCACGTATTGTATCTCATTGGCACGTGACTTATTATTTTTCTTTTAATTTTACAGATAATCGTGTGTTTTGGTATATTACACTTATAAAATGTATTTACATATAGTCACGTGAGTAGTTATTTTCATGTGTTCCAACATACTTTGTTGAATTATACAGGTATCACCATACAGATATGTCAGTATCTTTGTTTTTAACCCACACGTACTCGGCGAAGCAGCGTTAGGTTATGGTAAAGTCTACGTTAAACTTACCCGTACACAATTTTATATAAGCGTGTTTTTGTAAAATTTCGAAACGGCCAGAACACCGATGATCTGGAAAATTCGTATATTCACTAAAAAACTCGAATAAGTAAGGTTTGACTTTGCGAAAGATGAGAGAGGGTGCTCATCAGTCTGCAAGCTTTTATTATTTTTCTTTTAGTGAACTGTTGGACTCTATCATTTGGTTGATAAAAACGATATTTTAACAAGTATTATCAAATAATAGCAGCTGTGTTGCTAAGCGTGACGGCATTTAAATTTGGCATCGAAGCAATTCTTCTAATTCCTATGTAGTTTTTGACACCGTTACATTTCCGTCGTTGTAGGCACACAATGTATTTTATAAAACGTGACAAAATTATATCTGCTATCTTTCATTCCTATTGCCGATCATGTAATTGAAAACAATATGTTAATTATGAAAACATAGTAATGCAATTGAAATGTACTTAAGATGATTGAATATTGTATATACAAATGATTAAAAGAAAAAACACATGCACAAACAAACAAACAGTTATGCTGTTTGTAACTTTGACGTCTATAGTATACAATGTTATAGTTATGCTGTGGGTAACTTTGACGTCTATAGTATACACTGTAATAGTTATTCTGTGTGTAACTTTGACCTCTATAGTATACACTGTAATAGTTATGCTGTGTGTAACTTTGATGTCTATAGTATACACTGTAATAGTTATGATGTGTGTAACTTTGACGTCTATAGTATACACTGTAATAGTTATGATGTGTAACTTTGACGTCTATAGTATACACTGTAATAGTTATTCTGTGTGTAACTTTGACCTCTATAGTATACACTGTAATAGTTATGCTGTTTGTAACTTTGACGGCTATAGTATACACTGTAATAGTTATGCTGTGTGTACCTTTGACGTCTATAGTATACACTGTAATAGTTATTCTGTGTGTAACTTTGACCTCTATAGTATACACTGTAATAGTTATGCTGTTTGTAACTTTGACGTCTATAGTATTCAATGTTATAGTTATGCTGTGTGTAACTTTGACGTCTATAGGATACACTGTAATAGTTATGCTGTGTGTAACTTTGCCCTCTATAGTATACACTGTAATAGTTATGCTGTGTGTACCTTTGACGTCTATAGTATACACTGTAATAGTTATGATGTGTGTAACTTTGACGTCTATAGTATACACTGTACTACTTATGATGTGTAACGTTGACGTCTATAGTATACACTGTAATAGTTATGCTGTTTGTAACTTTGACGTCTATAGTATACAATGTTATAGTTATGCTGTGTGTAACTTTGACGTCTATAGGATACACTGTAATAGTTATGCTGTGTGTAACTTTGCCCTCTATAGTATACACTGTAATAGTTATGCTGTTTGTAACTTTGACGGCTATAGTATACACTGTAATAGTTATGCTGTGTGTAGCTTTGACGTCTATAGTATACACTGTAATAGTTATGCTTTGTGTAACTTTGAGGTCTATAGTATACACTGTAATAGTTATGCTGTGTGTAGCTTTGACGTCTATAGTATACACTGTAATAGTTATGATGTGTAACTTTGACGTCTATAGTATACACTGTAATAGTTATGCTTTGTGTAACTTTGACGTCTATAGTATACACTGTAATAGTTATGCTGTGTGTAACTTTGACCTCTATAGTATACACTGTAATAGTTATGCTGTGTGTAACTTTGCACGTCTATAGTATACAATGTAATAGTTATGATAGGATGATTGTTACCTCTGTAGTAAAGTGTTATAATTAACACACACTGGTTTTCACAGTGATATCTACGGTATACAGGGATTCATCTGACGTTGTTATTACGATGGATGTTATTCTCAGAACTTTTATCAGCTTTCTAGCTCACCATGCGTAAGGGGATTGATTATAGACAAAATAGCGCACGGCTCGTGAACAGGCCGCATGGCTTTATAACGGAGTTCAATATCATGTACGCCTCTAAGGATAGCAAACGAGACTCACTTGATGGTTGTGGCATAGTTTTGATTAGGATTGCTTATTGTAAATTTTATAGGAAGATAGAAGTTGCTACGTTTTATACTTTGTTGGCATTCTGTATTTTACCTCCGAATTAATGACCATATACCGTTTATGTTTTAAATAGGTGCTATTTCGTAAATTGACTGTTTAATGTCACAATGTGTTGTCATTTGCTGGAGGACTATCGATCCCCTAAGTAGGCGGAACCTTGGAGCTGTAATTTATCCAGGCATGGTTTAGATTGAAAACGATTTAAATTGAAATGTTTTAATGTGTTTTATAGACATTTCTCAGCTTTTTCTATTTTCTACATATATGTTGGAACTTTAGATACGGATTTCCTGTCGTTTCAACCTTGAGTACCACTGCCTTGTCCTAAATGGACGTAATGGTTACATGCTGCAGTACAAATGTTAACTTTATTTTTACAGTAATATACTGCAGTACAAGTGTTAACTTTATTTTTACAGCAATCTACTGCAGTACAAATGTTAACTTTATTTTTACAGTAATATACTGCGGTACAAATGTTAACTTTATTTTTACAGCAATATACTACAGTACATATGTTAACTTTATTTTTACAGCAATATACTGTATTACAAATGTAAACATTATTTTTACAGTAATATACTGCAGTACAAATGTTAACTTTATTTTTACAGCAATATACTGTAGTACAAATGTAAACTTTATTTTTACAGTAATATACTGCAGTATAAATGTTTACTTTATTTTTACAGTAATATACTACAGTACATATGTTAACTTTATTTTTACAGCAATATACTGTAGTACAAATGTAAACATTATTTTTACAGTAATATACTGCAGTATAAATGTTAACTATATTTTTACAGTAATATACTACAGTACATATGTTAACTTTATTTTTACAGTAATATACTGCAGTACAAATGTAAACTTTATTTTTACAGCAATATACTGCAGTACATATGTTAACTTTATTTTTACAGCAATATACTGTAGTACATATGTTAACTTTATTTTTACAGCAATATACTGCAGTACAAATGTTAACTTTGATTGTATTCTGTATACTAGGTTTTTGTTTTTGTTTTTTAAAGTGTTGCCTTACTTACCAATCGATTGGTAGACAACGGTAAACAATAAATACTCCTTACTGATGTTTTATTTACTATGAGTTAGATGAGATTCACAGTGTTGTTACACAACTGTATAAACTGATGCTGTTATTGGTATTATTAGAAAAAATATATTACTTAATGTCATCTAAAACACGAATAGTGTTGCAATCACGTGACGAGCCATGCTAAATGGTGTCTTTTCGAGAATAAAAGAAATACACATCAGTTAATTCCACGATTGCCTTTTATAAGTATAATAAAAAGAGTTTAATCAATGTCCTTACTGATTAAAAGGTCAAATATTTGTTACATGTGTCATACCTATTAACGCTCGATTCATATCACTAAAAAAAATTCCATCTCTTTGTTCTGTTTTATGACTCACCTTGTTGTTTAAGAATGCTCTGGAATACGTTCTTTCTAGTTCACGGAGAGTTATCATTGTCCTCATATCTCCTGCTCCGTCTTAGGATAAGATGTAATTTTGTATTATCGTGAAAAAGAAATACAAATCGTTGTTTTAATTTCCCTTGGCATTTTCTCCCAATCTGTACATAATTCAAAAAGACAGAACTCACTTTGTCGCTGAGAGTACGTCTAGACGACCCATATCACACAGGTAATGCCTCAAAGGTTTTGTTCTATCTTCTCGAGTGATTGGAAGGTTTATCATATTCATGATCTAACATGAAATACACTCTATTTTCTCACATGTCATGGTTGTAAACAATCACGCTGAAACAAGAAGGTCGGCATAAGTTTTGTCTATTAGGGATTGTCTGAATATATTTCATTTCACACG